AAATTTTTTGGTCGCTACCCGGAATCGAACCCGGGACCTTTGAATGAGAGGCCAACACCTTTACCTCTAGGCCACGAGAGCCCCCCTACAGTGGTAAAACGACTGAAGTCACAAACTGAAAATCTTGAGGGTACCAATTTTGAACGCCTGTTGACTCATAACTGTATTTCTGTTCAACTGTTGGTTGATTATTGTTGTTTGATTTACCATTGAACAACACTTAACAATAAACCACCAGTAAAACAAATATGGAGTTACGAGTCCACAAGCTTTTAAAATTGGCACCCTCACAATTTCCAGTTCGTGACTGCAGTCGTTTTCCCCCTGTGCCTTTCATATACACACATTAATGCAGAGACAAAATACGCAAACGATATGAAAAGTTAAGTAAAAGAAGATGTGATAGAATGAATCGAGGAAACTCATAAAGTAAAATACTTCATCACGTTTACAGAACTGGAACCCCTGATCTTAGGATTTTAAGACTTTACTTGAAACTAATGGGCCCTCAACAAAATGCTAATAAGTACAATTTAATTTCAAATTTGCTGGTCTGTTTTCCATTCTTTTCGAAACTACATTAATAACATATTTTTCATTGCAGAAACTATTATAAAACAATAATAATATTCTCCATTTGTTTGATTTCTTACACAGGTCCATTCCACCAACAGTAATGCAAACCAATATACGCTCAAACATTCTTAACGTTCTCAGATTTCACAAAACTTTGTAAAGTCTTTTAGTTTTAGTAAGAGTTTTACGGCGCTTGCAACACAATAAGGTCATATAAGTGTCGAAGATTAGAGGGGATACAAGAGAGTAACAAACACAAAAAAGGAGGGGAGACAAAGACGATAGATGTTTTATAGAAAAAAAAGCAAACCACACTAGAGCACCCGCCAACCACCCACTTGTAAGGTCTTGATTAATAAAGGTTAATTTTGAATGACCGTATCTCGGGCGTTTCTTATTGTAGATGAAAAGCTAACGTGTCAGATGATGCAGAAGTCATTTAGCTATACATTGGTACCTTGCATGAGTGAGTAGTGCAAGGCTTTAACACGGCATTTTAGGTGAATACATTTTAAAGTTTCTTTTAAAAGCTATTGTGTAATATGTCAAGATTCGCTGGAATCAGGCGCTTGTCAGGTTTTGGACATATGGACTTATAAGTATAATCTTAAATCGTGTTTTCGACGAAAAAGAAGCCTTTTAGCATAAATAAAAGTTGGGACAAATTTAACCATTTAAAAAAAGCGGGGTTAAACTAGTGCCAGGGGTAAAATTAGCGAGAAAATAGCTGTCATAGCTTACAAATTTCTAAACCTTGAGTATACTTAATATTTGCAAGTTCACTCTTTTAGGTGCCTTTGATCAATGATCTGATCAAGATAGTAAAATTCACACGGAAATGTGTTTTATTGAGTGAAAAAAAAACCCTGCAAGAAATTGCCTCACGTATGGAAAATGCCAATCACTTTGATTTCATTATTTTGACAAATGCTTGATTTTACCATAACGGCACACATGCTTATACAACTCTTGCAAAACTGTAAACAAATACAGGGAGGGTAATAAAAGCGCACTTTCATAATACATGATATTGCATTACTGCGTCCACTTTGCGGAACATAATTATCCTCAGCGATATTTGAGAGAAAATACTGCACTGTAGCAATACATGATGTATGCCTACGTACCTTTTATGACCCCTACATCCTAACACAACACACCTTACTTAGCCTGGAGGTAGCCTGGAGGTAACCTGGGTACAGGGTCAGTCAGGTTCTCTTGAGGTTTATATACCTACCCTGGAGAAAGGGAGAGAGAGGGGGGATGGAGAGGAAGAGGAGGGAAGAGACAGAGGGAGAGAGAGAGAAGGAGAGAGAGAAGGAGAGAAACAGAGACATAGAGATAGAGAGAGAGAAGGAGAGAGAGAAGGAGAGAAACAGAGACATAGAGATAGAGAGAGAGAAGGAGAGAGAGAAGGAGAGAAACAGAGACATAGAGA